GAAGGCCAACATGGTGGCTGATGCCTTGAGTAGGAAGTCAGTGAGTATGGGCATCCTTGCGTATATTCCAGTCGGCGAGAGACCGCTTGCATTATATGTTCAGGCAATGGCCAATCAGTTCGTGAGGTTGGATGTTTCTAAGCCCACTCGTGTTCTAGCTTGTACGATCGCTTGGTCTTTATTGTTTGAGCGCATCAGGGAGTTGCAGTTTGATGACCCTCATTTGCTTGTCCTTAGGGACACAGTGTGGCACGGTGATGCCAAGCAGGTTATAGTTGGAGATGATGGAGTTTTGAGGATGTAGGGTCATGTTTGTGTGCCTAATATGGATGGACTTCTTGAGTTGATTCTAGAGGAGGCCCACAATTCTCGGTATTCTATTCATCCAGGCGCCGCCAAGATGTATCAGGACTTGCGGCAGTATTATTGGTGGAGGAGGATGAAGAAGGATATAGTTGCATATGTAGCTCGGTGTCTAAATTGTCAGCAAGAAAGTACGAGCATCAGTGACCTGGTGGTTTGCTTTAGAAGATAGATATTCCTCAGTGGAAGTGGAAGCGTATCACTATGGATTTCGTTGTTGGACTCCCACGGACTCAGATGAAGTTCGATGCAGTTTGGGTCATTGTGGATAGATTGACCAAGTCAGCGTATTTCATTCCTGTGGCAGTTACCTATTCTTCAGAACGGTTGGTAGAGATTTATATCCGCGAGATTGTTCGTCTTCACGGTGTGCCTGTGTCTATCATTTCTGATTGAGGTACGTAGTTCACCTTGCATTTCTGGAGGGCAGTACAGCGTGAGTTAGGCACGCGGGTTGAGCTGAGCACAACATTTCATTCTCAGACGGATAGGCAGTCCGAGCGCACTATTCAGATATTAGAGGATATGCTCCACGCTTGTGTTATAGACTTCGGAGGTTCGTGGGATCAGTTGTTGCCGCTAGCGGAGTTTGCCTACAATATCAGTTATCCGTCGAGCATTCAAATGGCTCCCTATGAGGCATTATATGGTAGGCGGTGCCGGTCATCAGTAGGATGGTTTGAGCCGTGGGAGGCTCGATTATTGGGTACAGACTTAGTACAAGATGCCTTGGATAAAGTCAAGATTATTCAGGATCGACTTCGCACGGCTCAGTCCAGGCAGAAGAGTTATGCCGACCGTAGAGTTCGTGATGTTGCATTCATGGTCGGAGAGAGAGTGTTGCTCCGGGTATCACCCATGAAGGGTGTAATGAGGTACGGAAAGAAGGGCAAGTTGAGCCCTAGGTATATCAGGCCTTTTGAGATTCTTGAGAGAGTGGGAGAGGTGGCTTACAGACTTGCGTTGCCTCCTGGTTTATTAACGGTCCATCCAGTGTTCCAAGTGTCCATACTTCAGAAGTATCACGGCGATCCATCCCACGTGTTAGATTTCAGCATTGTCCAGTTGGACAAGGATTTGACCTATGAGGAGGAGCCGATGTCTATTCTAGCCGGGCAGGTTCGTCAGTTGAGATCGAAGAAATATCCTTCAGTTCGAGTGCATTGGAGAGGTCATCCCGTTAGGCAGCTACCAGGGAGTCCGAGTCGGACATGTAGAGTAGATTCCCCACTTTTTCACCAGTCCAGGTACTTTTCTATGTCCGTTCGAGGACGAATGGTTATTTTAGAGGTGGAGAATTTGATGACCCCGTCACGCCCCGAACTATGGCCTGGGCGTAACACGGCACTCGGTGCCTGACTGCATGCGACCGAGCAAACCATCTGTATGGCTGGATCAACATGTGGTATAACTATAAGCTAGAGGTAAATGTAAATCATGATAGTCTGCTAAAAGGTCTGATTGAAATATCATAGATGCGGAAAAATACTGAAAGGTCTGCAAGTATAAACAAGTAGCCGACAAGGCTAACACATGAAAGCCTGCTAATATCTGACTGACTGGGTTATAGTCTACGAAGCCTCTAAAGAATACTGAAAACGCCAACTGTTTACCGGGACAAGGTCCTCGGTATACCTTATTAACTGAAATACTATAATGACTAAAACAAAAGAGAGATAAGGCCCTGAAAGACTGGGGCTCACCAATAGCTGATACGAGATGTCCTAGCAAGCTTAATAGTCGACCTGTAAATCGTTACCTGCATCGCGAGATATAGGCCCCGGGCAAAAGGGGCGTCAGTACATTTGAATTGTACTGGTATGTAAAATAGCTGAACAAAAGAACTGTAAATATTGAAATTGAAACTGAACTGCTAGCTGATAAACTGATAACTGAACAAGGAAGTAAGGATGTGAATACTCCCTCTTCTGAATGATGAACAACCTGTTTAACTGAATATTAAACTGCGGCCTCATGCCCAATGTATATATATATATATATATGTGCACAACTGCGGCCTAGGGACCAAGTATACGTATACATAACTGCGGCCTCAGGCCCAAAGATGCATAAACCATAAACTGCAGCCTAAAGCCCAAATACAGGTGTTCAACATTCAAGAATATAAAATCAGGAACTAAGAATCATATTACAATACATGATACTGAAATAATGAGCCATACTGGGTTACATGATACTAGAATAGTGAATAGGATTAGACTGAGATGAGTATTAACAACAAGTTGATTTGTCATAACTGAAACTCATAGAATATCGAATAATTATGCGACTATGCCATCTAGAGAATAGAAGTCCTACTACTGATCAGGGAACTAAGGCATAGTTCCTTTCTGAGGAGACTGGTAATGATCATAATGAATGGGACGTAGGGAGAATCATAGACATTCCCAAACGTAAAGAGTTAGCCTTACATACCTTAACTTCCTGCTCTTGAGCGTAATACAATGTTTGTCAATCCTTTCAACTTCAATCTATAGCAATACAAGTCACAGGGATTCCACATTAGCTATAATGCTCATGTTTTGGTCACTTAAGCATTTTGTCAAACACTTGGTAAAAATAAAGCTTCATAGTCCTTATTAATGGTGTCTCTACACCCAACAACCCATTCTCTTGTTCCTAGATAAATTCTAAGGTCTCAAATGATTACACCAACATTATTCTTCATCACCCATAAGGCAAACAACACTCTTAACCAATAATCAACACTCAACACCCCAACCCTATAATCGTTCATGCTTTTCTATCAACCCCAACAACTCATGTCTCATGAACTAGGATTTATAATCATTAAACCAATGCTAGAATCAATTAGAGGGTGAAGACATTACCTTTTCGAAGTTCAAACCCTTGATTTTCGAGTTCTAGGCTTCCTTCTCTCAACAATGATGTCCCAATCGAATATCTAATGATATGGAGGGTTTACCCATGTTAATAAGATGTTGGAAAAGTGAAATTAACTTAGAATCACCATTAGAACTTACCTTGGGTGGTGGAAGGACCCTTAAGGAGTTAGGTTTTTGAGAGTTCCCCTTTCTAGAGCAAGTTTTTGTGTTTTGGGGCTGTGGGGGACGAAATATAGCTTTAAAACGACCCCCCACGCGCGAGTTCACACACCTGGAGGCTTGTTCGCGCGAGAGTTCGCGCTCAACGGCAGTAACACTGCCTCCCACGCGCGAGTTCGCGCACCTGGAGGCTTGTTCGCGCGAGTGTTCGCGCATACGCGTACTGTTCCGAAAAATGCACATAACCTTTTGCACAGAGATCCCTTCGGAATCCATAATATATCGTTGGAAAGATATTTTAAAGGCCTACAACTTTCATGGTTTGTGCTTTCCCCAATTCCTTGCACATTTTCACTAAAACTTGATGGAAGACAGACCTTCTGCAACTTAGTCGATTTTTGTCAAATCTTATGCACCTCTCTTTCCATTTTGATTTTTGAAACAACTATTTTACCCGCAATCATCCCGTTGGGACTTCACATGTTCAAAATATAACCTTACCAATCATTTACCACATTCACACCTAAGTCGAATTTACGGGGTGTTACATTATCTCCCCCTTGGGACCATTCGTCCTCGAATGATGGTCCTGGCTGCAACTATGACTATCTATGGACATTAAACGGGTGTGATGATGATATGAGAATATTGAAATATCATGAATACATGTGTATCCAACTGAATGAGCACGTGATCACTAAATACTAAGCTGAGTAAATACTGAAGAACATGGAGATTATAATATAAGAACTGAATGGAAAGGTCAATTACCTTCCACATTTTCCTTTTGCCCTTCAAAGGGATGGGGATATCTGGACTTCATGTCCTCCTCGGCTTCCCATGTAGCCTCTTCAATCTTATGATTCCTCCAAAGCACTTTTAGGGAAGCAATTTCCTTAGTTCTGAGCTTGCGAATTTGACGATCAAGAATAGCTACTGGAATTTCTTCATAAGATAGGCTGTCTTTAACCCCTATAACCTCTATAGGAACCACAAGTGACGGGTCTCCCACGAATTTCTTCAACATGGACACATGGAACACTGGGTGTACGACAGCTAGTTCTTGTGGCAATTCCAACTCATAAGCCACCTGTCCGATCCTTCGCAGGATTCTATATGGACCAATATAGCGGGGACTAAGTTTCCCCTTCTTCCCAAATCTCATAACGCCTTTCATGGGCGATACTTTCAAAAACACCCAATCATCAACTTGGAACTCTAAGTCCCTACGCCGCACGTCCGAATAGGACTTTTGGCGACTTTGAGCCGTCTTCAAATGCCTTTGTTTTAAGTTGACTTTCTCCATAGCCTGATAGACCAAATCGGGTCCTAACAACTCCGTTTCTCCGACTTCGAACCAACCAATTGGTGATCTGCACCTTCGCCCATGCAAAGCTTCGTACGGTGCCATCTTGATACTGGAGTGATAGCTGTTATTGTAAGCAAACTCAATGAGAGGTAGATGATCATCCCAACTACCTTTAAAATCAATAACACATGCCCTCAACATATCCTCCAGAGTCTGAATGGTGCGTTCCGCCTGTCCATCTGTCTGAGGGTGAAAAGCGGTGCTGAGGTTCACCCTTATGCCCAATCCCTTCTGAAAGGATTTCAAAAAGTTTGCTGTGAACTGCGCACCACGATCTGAGATAATGGACAAGGGAGTCCCATGAA